TTGATGATGACAAGGAGAAGGATAAATCGAAACCGAACGATAACAAGGAGATGAACGAAATGACAATTAAAAATGAAAATTATCGTGAACGTAAGGAAACGAGTTTGAGTGTCATAACATAATTACGTAGTTCATTGTATTATGTCTATTTAAAAGTGTTTATTAAAGCTATTATCAATCTCGTTTCTATTTAAGTAGGAATTTTTTAGGTGTAAAGAAAAAAAATATATCAGTGTTTAAGATTTGACTAAAAATGTAATGTAAATCTAAATGGGTTAAATGTTTATTGCAAATTTGACTAAATTGACAATATTATTGATGAGATTTAATAGTTAGGATAATATATTTTTGAATGTTTTTTGTCACTGTGATTGATATTACCAAATAAAATTGAAATTATAAATCATTTAATTTTTACCTAGAATACGACGTTAAAGTTAAAATTAAATCTACGTCCGTCCATTGAAATATTTATGATTTTATTTTATGATAATTATTAGGATTGTATTTTAAATGCTATATTCTGCAGACTGACATGTAATATACTTAGTTTATTTTTATTTAGGTTAATAACTGACTAATGTTATCTATTTTAATTCTTTTTTTACTCTAATTCATTAAACGAGATTAAATTTATCATATTAATTGTCCCCGAAATAGGTAAACCGTTGCCATAAATATTTATTAAATGAGATTTTTTTTAATCCAAAAAGTTTGACAATCTATGACCGAAATGAAAACAGTCAGCGATTCTCAAACTTTGTGTCAAAAAACGTTTCCTTTCGTATTTTATGTTTTAAATATGTTTTCTATCCTGAAACGTGTGTGTAAGATATTTTAATGTGTTTAAGATTCATTTTAGTGTAGAAGAAAAAATAAACAATGTTTAACTGTGATTTATTTATTTTAATTCAATTGACAAATTAAGTTTATTGAAGCAGTAATTATTATATATAACAAACTTTGTTGCATCTATTCAATGTCGTAAATCAGTGTGGTCATGACTTGCAAATTTTAATCTTTACTTATTAAATTATTTATTATTAAAAATGATTAAAATCAGGATACGTGCAATAGTAAGTATGATTCAAAGTGAAAATTAATCTAACAATTTTTATAAAAATAATATTAGCGAAAGTTGTTTGAAGGTTGGCATAATGATATTTTTAGGTTACTTCTTGATATACGTTGTCCGTTATAACCTAAGTGTCCATCTTGTTGATATGGTCCAAATGTCAAAGAGAGAGATCGAAAGAATAACTTTGAAAAGTGGCAGAAACGATTCTATTCGTAAAGTTTTTGATTCAAGAAAAGGGGTCAGTGAATAACTTTGTAATTTATAAGATAGAAACGCCTTTGAAATTTTTAATACTAATTTTTGTGCACAGACAATTTTAGATGTGATGTTTTGGGATGAAATTAAAATGGCACAACTTTTTTCTGCTTATCATATTGGTTATTGCGTTTGTTTTCCTATATTCCACAACATCGGTGATAGGTGAGTTAAAACACACATTTAATCTAGGTTTTGTTTCTTTATTAGTTCTTTTATTTTTGATGAAAAGAGGTTAGAATCGTGTATATCTAAACTAACATTTGAATAGGAAAAGAAAATGAACACTTGTAGTTAAGTAAAATAAAACAATACAGATTTCCCAAGAATTTACTGTGACCTGTAAAATAGGCTTTATTGTTACAATTTGATATTAAAATTTTACAAAGCAAATATTATTCCTCAGAATTGGACCTACGTGGGTGGTTGGCATAGCCGGCATGGTGTCAGGTATTCTAAATTGTCTCACGCCTGCCTCCGCTTACCATCATTTCTGGTCATTCTATCTGGTCCGCGTCATAAAGGGATTCTGTGCGGTTAGTTTCAATATATTAACCAATATCATTTATATTTGAGGTCTTATATTTATTGCTGTTTTGTTATTGAGTTTAGATAATAAAATAGACATGAATGAATAAGTGTAATACATAAAAATACGAAGACAAAGACGAAATGCATGCAAGGCAACATGGAAATGTGGGCTAATGACAACGCTTCATTTTCTTATTCTTACGCATACAAGATATAGCAGATTATTACAATGTCTAGGGTGCTATGTTACCAAGCATGGTACAAGTGCTGAGGCATTGGGTGCCGCCATTCGAACGAAACCATTTCATGTGGGCCTACTGTGGTGAGATTTTGAAGTGTTTTGCGAAAGTCTATTATGTAGATATTATAATATTAAAATTTTAAAAGCGAATATCAAATACATCAATAGCCTTTTTTATTTATTTTACTTTTGAAAATAATGAAGATTACATTTTGTTTTGCAAATAGCAAAGTTGTGTAATACGAAAATTACAAACTACAACGTAAAGGTATTATTTCCAAGAATGACTGTATTATATTTCTACAAAAGGAATAACAACTGGTACATGTTCAACATTCCTGATATGTGCCGCTGTTCATTTCTACTCTCGATGGCCCGTGGGCTTCTACGTATGTGGGACCATGCAGATATTGTGGTCCATCGCTTGGGTTTTTACCGTGAGTGACTCGCCGAGAAAACATCCCTGCATATCTGATGAGGAATTGGAATATTTGAACAATACAATTTGTAATGTGTTTACAATTAAGGTATGTTTATTTTTTATATTATTGTTACGTAAGACATTTTGCGATTTATTTTTTTAAGTATAAGGTTAATTCGTTGCTGTACCATAATTTTGATAGAGATTGTAATAATAAGAAAGATGAAGCTAAAATTAATGGTATAATGCAGTACTTTACAAACATTGAAATGTTTGGATTGTTTTTTAGTTAACCAATACTCAAGCCCCTTGGAGATTAATATTAAAATCGGTAGCTTTTTGGGCTTTATGTGTTTTAAATTTTGGATACGCTTGGATAATAATTTCGCTATGCATACATGGTCCGCTGTATTACACTCAAGTACTAAAGTACACTTTATATCAAGTAAGTACAAGTTAAATGATAGTTTGCTAAGGAATGTTCGCTTTAGTTGGATAGTAAATTAAATTCCTTGGCTACATATTTTTGGTACAATTTATATAAAAAATATCTTCAAAATTCCCTTTCCAGGCGTCCGCTCTAACGGCACTACCGTTTCTATTGAGATTAATACTGGGTACGATTATAATACAAATGTTTTACTATTATAAACAAAATGGAAAAATTAAAAGAATTAAATATATACGAAAATATACAATATTTGTTTGTAAGTACGATTTAGCAGTTATCTTTTAATATCGAAGTTAAATCCAAGGTTCATCACATCACAGTGCGCACCACGCTTTATGCACTTTTTCAAACATCTATCTTCTGCATGTGATATTAGAAAAAAAAATCATATATCGATTACGTGATGTATTTGCTTTACCTATAGCGAAAAAGCAAATTTTAAAATTATTGCCTATCTGTTTGAAAGTCTTGTTTGTTCCGGATAATCTCCGAAACAGTTAGGCCGACTTTGACGGGGCTTTCACTGGAAGATAGCTGATATGTGCTATTATAGGCCATATAATAAGCTACTCTTTTTCTTTTTTTTTTAATCTGCGCTGTCAAAGTTTCGGGCGACCGTTAGTACTACATAATATTGTAATTTGTTAATAGCTCACGTTTTACCTGGCATGATGATATCTATATTATGGTTATTCCCTGCAATACCTGGACCGACAATTTTGACATTAGCAGTTGCTCTTACTGCTGCAGGAATGGACAGCACTTTTGACATTTGTTATGTATGTATAGTGTGATATTTTAAGTAATACAGTTATTCATTGCTACTCATGTACTAATTATGTTTGACTATCGTTAGGAAATAACACCAATGTACGTGAACTCTGTAAATACAGTTATCAAAATTATTGGAAATACATCTGGCATTATCGTTTCACTATGCGTTGGAGAAGTTACGTATAAATACAAAGTATATTATATTTTAATATAAATATTTATTTTTCTTTATTCAATTATCTTAATGAAAATCTCATTGTATTTTCCAGAATACAGTAACTGTATGGAAGAATATTTGGTGTTTTCACGCCACAATTCTACTATTGTGTGGAATAACGTTTTTATTTTGGGGTGAAACAGATGTACAACCTTGGAATTCTATAAAAAATAGGTGTTGTATACAAATTTATTATTTTCGGTATATTTTGTATTTTATTGTTATTTGGACTGTTTATATTACAATATATTATTTTTATTTGAACAACTTATAACATTAATTTTAATGTTAAAGGCCTCGTCGTAAAATATTCGCTGCAACGGCGAGACCTTCTGCAATGTCGAATATCACCGAAGTGGAGGAAGATGATTCTACGTTTGTATATTTAACATATATTTTAATATAAAAAAATCAATATTATACAACCAAATGAATTGTATATATTCAAAATAAGTTTTTTGGATACTACCAAAATAAGAATTAGGAATCAAATTAGATAGAAATCGAACGTGATACAGGTTTTGAATGGGAATAATCGTGACTTTCCATTGCTTAAACACCTGTGCAAAAACATATAATTATCTCTGTTGTTCAAAGAAAGTAAGAGGGAAGACTATTTATTTTGTACATGCGTTTCAGCAGTTAACTCTCTCACAATAAATATGCATGATACTTTGTACACAATACCTAAGCCTTAAGAAAAACAGTGAACAAAAAAAATATGTAATTTTACTTTTTCAGATATCATACAATCCAATCACAAAATAAAAGAAGCTTTTTGTCACAAATCCGCTAAGGTGTTCGTTGAACATTTTACTTAAAAATAAAGATATATTTAACACAATAAACTATTTTATTTTATTTTATTTGAAAAGCATATTATTAAACATTGTAAGGTAATAATTAATGACTATTCAATTTAAGTGAAATAAAAAAATATCCGAAACAGTTATTTAATATGTCGATAACTATTCTTTTTCTGTAAAAAGGAACGTAATGACATCTGTCAATAAGACATATCTGACAGTTGACGTAAACCACTTGAAAAATAAATTAAAAAAACACTTTCTTTCTTTCAATTAACATTGCATTGTTTATAAAATACATTTTTTTCCCCTGAATAACATTGCATTCTGCTTTAATTAGTGTGAAAATGATGTCTGTTAGTATAATTGAGTATTACGCAGAACATGAACGATATAAGTGTGGTTATTGTAAGAAACCTGATACGAGTTACAGTCACGGTAATTTTTAACTTCTTATTTGAATAATTTATTTTCACATTTTTGTGTTAATTTAATTCCTACTCTTTTTAATTGTATTGATATACAAATATATGTAGTGCATACTGAATGTCTTCTTTGTGATTATTAAAGGTATTTGGGCGCACACAATGACAGTAAGTGATTACCAAGATTTAATAGACAGAGGCTGGAGGCGTTCTGGCAAATATTGTTACAAGCCTACATTAGATGTTACATGTTGCCCTTCATATACTATAAGGTTTGTATTTTTAAATGAGTTTGTATCTGAGAGAGCATGCTCCAAACAAAAATTAACATATTCCTTGTGTTTCTGTCCCTCAACTAAGTAATCAACGTCAATACTTTGTTTTAAATAACCTTATCATCAACCATGTTTCAATACTCATCTATATGTTGGCCGTGACTAAGACACTGATAAATTATTGCAACACTAGCTGTCGCCCTCAAATCCGTCCGCGCGGAATTTAAATATACTTAATTAACAGCCTATGTGTTCTTTCAGACTGTGTTCTACATCTATGCAAAATTTCAGGAAGATCTATGAAGCCATTCTGGGGCCACCTTCAAACAAACATCCATCTATCTATTCAACCATCCATTAAAACAATCATATTTATAATATTAGTAAGATTATTTTTTCCCATTGTTCCTTTTCATCTACACATCCACATTCTTTTAGCAAAACTAAATTCAATTAGATTTAAATATCTTTTCAATCCTTAGACCTTTAATTAATTTTTATCATTATAAAATATTTGTTTAAGATGCAAAGCACTTGATTTTAAATTGACTAAATCCCAGAAGAAAATCTTGAAGAGAATAAACAAGTTTCTGTCAGGTGAGGCTGAACAGGATAAAGATGACAGGAGAATGTCAACTAGTCAAAGCTATGAACAGATTGAGAATTTAGGGGAACAATTTGTAGCACCAAAACAAGATCCTCAAATGATAAATGTACATAATGTTACATTTTCTTCTGGTAGCAATGAACAGGATGATTCTGCTATAGGTAAGATCATTTATACAATTATTATTTCAATCTTCCCGTTAGTTAATCTAGTAGGCATATGTAGGAATTAATCAATATTTTCTTTGTACTTACAATGATATTTGATATCTTTCATTTTGATCCAAAAACAAAATTATGTAGACAAAGAAACAGCAAATTAGTAGAGCCAGCAACAAAAACATCTGTTGCATGAATTTGTTGGATTTGCCAGTGAAAATACAACCATACAGAAGACTGGCGTAAAATTGAAGTAATTCTGTATTTAGTCTGATGAGTGTGCATGCCATAGCGCAAATTTTGGTTCATTTCCCCTTCCCAGCATATTCTTATAAGAAATGGATTGAAAGGGGAAATGTTCTCTTAATTTATGACCAATTCTCTGTTGAAGAGTTTTTGATTTTAGCAAGAAGTACAGATTGTCTATGGTTAAGGTTTTTTCCCATATTGGTATATGTATTTGTAACCACCGAAGTGTGTTTGTTATCTTTCCTAGCACTATCTATAAGGAATAGGTACAAACAGGCATGTTAAATTATAGTAATCAGAAGTATATCTTTTTAAGGGTTATGTAATATGTGATCTGTCTATTTATCTTGAGAGTTATGATGTAAGACTGATAAATATGAAAGAAGATTTGGTCTAAAGTACAGTTATCTTTGTTATATAATCTTTAACTATAGTAACAAGTGGAGTAATGATCAAAAATTGACATTTTTGCATTTTTTTTAAATCCAATAATTGAAAGCCTCATAGATAATCTGTGATAAGTTGCCTCAAGGAGCTAAGATATATAATGTAATATAGATATAAAATGTAACAAACAATAATATGTTTTGAAAATGATCATTTTATAATAAAATCATAAAAGTACTATGAATTCTTAGTTTTCTATTTTTTAATATTCATATTTTTATTCTACCCGGCACTCCTTAAGAGAAAGGGTATTATTTGGATGTTCCAAAATAATTCAAATACTACTGGACCAATTAAAAAAAATCTTTTGACATATTTTTTTTAAAAATTCGTGTGGCCAATGGCGCGGAGCTATTAATAAATGAAAATGGAACCTGTTATTTTTCTTTTATTTTAACTATTTTTTTTCTTTATAGGTGATACATCACCAATTCCATACATGTGTGATGATGTACCAGAAACTTCGGGCGATTTCATGATGGAAAAAGGTATTTTTTGCTTTAATTTTTAGTTAGCAATGCAAATGTAGTGTCATTGTTTTTATGCAAATGAAAGTGGCTAATTCCTGTGTCCAAAAAAAAAAACAAAATATTATACATCATTACTATGTTTTCACTTTGTAGGTGAGACATCTTTGAAAAGTTTACAGACTGATTCTGTACCGGGAACTTCAACAGTTTTACCTGTAAAAAAAGGTAATGAAAAAATATTTGTCATTATTTTTTAGTGTAAAAATAATGATGAATTTAAACAATGATTAATGATTTTAGATATGGGTCCAGATCCTAACAAAGCGCCGTGCAAAAAAGCAAAGCTATTAAGACGCGAAAGAAGATTGCAAAAACTGAAAGACAAGGGCATCGACATTACAACATTGCCTGACATAAATAAAAATAAGGAAAAACAAATTGAGGATTTTATTAATGAACTGCCAGAAAATGTGAAACACAAACTTGAGGTGACAAAAAGTTAATAATTAATCCTTTATCTAATTGAAAATTTCTATTTCAAACTTTAACTTCTCAATTGAAATGTTTTGAATAATCTGTGGTTTTTATCGCAGATTAAATTAGTACGAACAACGCCACCTAGCGGCGAGTGGCTGGCATCAGCTAAACAGACTCACGAGTTATACGTCAAATATCAGATGAAAGTTCATGGAGATACACCGGATAAGTGCACTGAGCCCAAATTCAAGGAATTCCTAGTGCATAGTCCATTATTGGTAATTATTTTCTGCATACTGGCTTATTGCTTAAAGGATAATACTTGATCGCTTGACTATATTTTTATAACACAGAAAACTCATTTTTTTACATACACTACTCCTAGTTGTGGCGGAATAGAACAAAAAAAACTTAATAAGTAGCCTATGTGTTCTTCCTGGCTATGCCAAATTTCATCAAGATCCATGCAGTCATTCTGGAACCGTTGAATAGATATGTAATAAATAAAGATTTAATATTTTTACTATTAAAAGTGATATTTTCTTTACGAATCCGGATGATTTTCAATACTGTAGAATAAAATTGCCCAATATTGAACTCAAAAAGGACTTTCTTACCATTGCCTAGCCCTTTAGAATTCAAAATTGTACAATATTATTTTACAAATAAAAACAAATGAGACAAAGATGGTTATTAATAAAAATATATTTATTTACATTACAGGAGGAACATTCTGAAGTTGGACCTCCTTCAGGGTACGGTTCCTTCCACCAGCAGTACTGGTTAGACGGCAAGATGTTAGCCGTTGGAGTAATTGATATATTGCCCAAGTGTGTTTCATCTGTATATTTCTTTTATGATCCAGATTATATGCATTTAAATCTAGGAACATATGGAGCATTAAGGTAATCATTATTTTTTGATTAATCATTATTGCTTGTTATATACAGGATGTTTTTATTTAAACATGATATACAGCATGATTTTTATCAGAATTCTTTTTTCATGCTTGTGTTATCTTTGACTTTTTTAATATTGCTAAGTAAAAAGAAATCACCCCTTGTTATATAAATTTTATAGTTCAAGTTTTCTATTACAGGGAGATAGCATTTACAAGAAACCTACATACTCTATGTCCGGAGTTAAAGTATTATTATTTAGGGTTTTATATCCATTCGTGTTGTAAAATGAGGTACAAGGGTAACTTCCATCCTTCAGATTTACTCTGTCCGGAAACATTTAAATGGTTTCCCATAGAAAATTGTTTACCAAAATTAAATAGTTCTCCATATTCACGTTTGGATAACGACATTGATAGTGTTGATGAGAATTATCCAAAACAAGGCGATATAAATTTTATACCAATACATTACAAAGGTTCAGTATTAATGTACAAAGTTTATAAGAAAAAAGTATCAAAAAGTCGACGTAATAGCGAAGAGCTAGACGAATATTTAAGGTTAGTTGGCTCTAAAACTGCTAAAAACCTAGTTCTAGTTAGATAAAGTTATGCCTTAATTTTATTACTATTCCCACCAAACAAGGTATTGAATATTAGTGACGTACTTATGTACCTAGTCACCTTAGTAATAAGTCTTATTACCTAGACAAGACATTTAATTGCACTTCTTTACCAAATCGTCTTTAACCTTTAGAATTATCAATAAAATGCACTTATCCCCACTACCCATCCATTACTCATTGTAAATAGGGAAGGGTAGGGGATACAAATTTCTATTTGGCCATTTGGAATTGGAGGAACCATATGTCAAGCAATGGACAGACAAAAGCTGAAGATGATTACTCATATTTAAAAAAAACGAAGAGTTTCCTTATTTCGTTTAATGTTTTTTTTTTGTTATTTCGTAACTCCGCTTCTGGCTCATAATTCTTTTTATTCGAATGATAGTGTGTTTTATTCTTTATCTTTTACGTCTTCGGTACATCTCTTGCAAAAAGGCCCAATATTACGTGGGGCAATTAAATTCGAATATTAAAATTACTTGTATTGACTTTAAAAAAGAGCTTCGGTGGCTCAGGAGCCAAGCCCTTGACATGCAATCTGCAGGTTCTGGGTTCCAATCCCGCCATGTACCAATATGTCTTTCGATTACCGATTTGCATATGTACATTTATCCGACATTCTTACGGTGAAGGAAAACATCGTGATGCAACCTGGACATATCTAAGAAATTCAAAGATATGTGTGAAGTCAACCAACCCACACTTGGCCAGCGTGGTTGACTATGGCCTATTCACCCTTAACTTAGTGTAGCCTCCGAGCCCCTCGGTGGGGGCGTATAGTGAGCTGATGATGATGATGTATTGACTTTCATAGTATTGTAGTTTTCTTAATATCCTTTGAATTGTAATTTTTCCTAATAATTGTCAACAGACGTGCTTTGTTAAAATTAAAAAAAATTGCAGTCAAAATGTCGATAAGTTTTAATAATAATGTAAATGTTTGTGAGTCCTAGTGATGCGCTTAATATTAAATTTACTACTATTATGTCGTTTTTATTCATTCTTCCTTATTAATAAATCTGTTTAACAGAAAATTGTGTTTAAATGTTACCTAATCCTCAACATTATTAACTGTAGCTGTCGCCCGCGACTCCGTCCGCGCGTAAAATAACATAATTATTAACCTATGTGTTCTACCAGATTATGTTCTATATGTATGCCAAATTTCTTCAAAATCAGTTCTCTCGATCTGGAGTTATCTTCAAAGATTCATCTATCCATCCATACATCTAAACTTTCCCATTTATAATATTAGTAAGATACAAACAGTCGTAAAATATATGTTTCTTTCTTTTTTTTAATTTTATGAACTGGTAACATAGACCTTTAGGTCATATCTTATTTGGAAAATGTTCATTACTTTTTTCTGTCTCTCTCACTCTGACAAACCTGAGATTATATGTGTACAGACGTTTTTGCAGTAGAATCCCGCGGTTAATGATTTGTAGCTCGGAAGTATGTGGTACAAAAAATATCCGCTCGGTTGGACATCAAATAAAAACAATATCTCAGTTGTCTGGGTACGTGTTATTCTCACTATTCTGAAAAATCTAAATAATTCTGCAAGTATAATAAAGATGTTCCATTGTAAAGTGGAACGATATTGCGGTATTGTGTACCTAGTTGCTAAAGCAAATGAATTATTAAGATGTATTGTATAAACAAAGTATAAAGTCGTTATACAGTGAATAGGCAATTATTTAATTACGCGTAATGTTGCTTTGTTTCATTGTAAACAGATTCTCACATAAATTTGAACTATAAAATGTGTTATACAACCATAGAAAATATGGTATCTCAACCTCTAACTGCAGTTTAATGGTCACTAAGGGCAATCCTTAGTGTAGCAGTTTGGATCCAACTGCTAAATGAAATAAACAGAAAAATGTCAAATTCCATACATGGCGGCCATTACGTTTTAATTTTTTGTGTCACAAAATTACCAAACTCATGCGATACGACTTTACCGATTTTTGAGAAAATTTTTATGCATATTCAGCAGGTCTGAAAATCGGCTACTATCTATTTTTTAATTCCGCGCGGACGGAGTCGCGGGCAACAGATAGTACTTATGAAAAAAAAATTGTTTTGCCAAGAATATTTTGGAATTTACGAGTTTTGCGCCATGAATATGTTTACGGATTGTAACAAAGTAAAGTGCGCTAATTAAGTGCGGCTGTACTTATGGTAGATACTTAGATATCTGTGGGCCTAGCACGAATATTTCAGACAATCGCCATCGACAAAATTTGTGCAGCGCCTCTGTCGGGGGTAAAGTGTACCAAAAATCTCATACCAATTTTGACATAATTGACGATGACGATACGAAGACGACTGTCACATACATTCGTGCTAGGCCCCCTGATCACTTGACCTGCGTATGTGTGACATTGTTTATCGCGAATGTTGAGTGGACTAGGCTTTGACAGAAGTGGCACGCGAGTTAGCTACCGGCTAGGCTTTCATCGTGGAAAGCCACTGGCGCTGTCTACGGTAGTCGGAGGAAGGCAGGCGCGCGCGCAAGTCGCCTTACTTTTGGCGCAACCGTATAGAACCTTCGTGTACGTTCTTGTGATTTATGTGTATACTGCTATAATTCTATAATAATGAAACTCCACTTTAAAATATTCGGTAAGTTATTTTTATTTGTTTTTAAGAATTAGTCTTTATATTTTTGTTATTGTGTAGTGAAGGTAGTTTAAATAAATATCAGGCTTTTTAAATGTTTATTTTTGAATTAATATACGATACATTTAAAAATAAAGGCGTTGGATTTATTAATAAATGTGATAATAATTTACAAAGAAACGTGTAGTCTTTCGATTACTTATTGCTAATTTTTAGGGTTCCGTCCTTATAGGATCGCTTTGTTGTCCGTCCGTCTGTCAAGACCTTTTTTGTTTATTTAGTTATCTTGTTATATTCATTTCTTTTATAGAAAATTAATGGCGATCAGTTCTAAATGTACGACTTAGATTTTTTCAAAATTATTTGCGTGCCTATATACTTATGTACGCAACGCAATAAACAGAAATATTCAAATATCTAATTTTATTTCGCGTATATCGATATAAATCTAAATTAATAATACGTCTCTCTATATTTATTGTTTGTTTTTAATAATATTAATGATAATAACATGAGTAGTGTGTGAAAATGAATCCTAACCAATAACGCTAACTTAAGTACAAACTTGATGCAGTTTAAAAAAAAAACTACCGTTCAATGTATAAAATTGGCAAACCTGTTTGAAACTTGTAGTAATCTTTAATATGGAATTAATATTTTTTTACAACTTATAACAAAATCCTTTATAACTTAACATTAACTCTAACATCAAATAATATAAAAAGCAAGATTCAACTAAATCATTTAACATAGTTTTATGTAATAACATCGGTTTAGAATAATCTTTTGTTATTTAATTACTTTTATTACTAGCTTTCCGCGCGTAATTACTGAAAAAAGTAATATGTAGCCTATGTGTTCTTCCAGGCTATGATCTGTGCTAAATTTCAGCGAGATTCATGCAGCCGTTCTGGAGATACATACTAACAAACATCCATCCATACATCCAAACATTCGCATTTATAATAGTAGATAAGAAGAGTTTAAAACTATGGGGCCGCTAATATTTTTGCTGGGAATATTAACCGGATATACCTACCATTGTATTAAACTTTTTATGTTATATCTACAAAAAATTACTTAACATTAACATAATTTGTACTTAGTGTTTTTTTGTAAAGACAGAAGGATTAGAGTCTTCAATGTAAAATATTAAATCCGACTTATTTCAAAGCCAGAGATGTTAACTATGTGTTTGCTGACAGCCAATCAATATAAATTACGATTATTTACAAAAAATACTTCTAAATATTTAGTGAAGGTTTCTAAAAATTAGTTTTATTATTTCTTTCTACTTATCGAACATTAAATAGGCACAAGTTAAAACTCGTACAAAACCAATATCTTTCCTTTGTTTATAAAAGTTATATATTTTTGGGACCTTTCGTGTCAATGACTCCATTCAAGTTATTCTTAACGTTGCCCGACTGCCTTCTGTATAGTGAAAAAAATTAGGGACGAAGATTTTATGAATTTCGAGGTTTCTATGTAACTACTTAATAGCACGTTTTCCCAGCGGAAACTGTAGTATAATAAAATTTGCCATAGTCTGCAAGAACATATAGGCTGATGATAATTTTTTTTAATTTCGCGCAGATTCAGTAGCGGGCGACAGCTATCCCAATAGCAAATGTGAAGATTTAAAACCCGTTAGAATAGACTTAGTTGATTTAAATGTTTCTACTTCCGAAAAAAGTGTAGAAAAACATATTACCATCTCTGTTATTCAAAGCGAGTGAGTGATATAGCTATACGCATGTTTAAATACATATATTTCGTCAGTGGAAACCTGCAGTAATATTTTTAGGTTAGGGCATCCACCTCAATTATTACATCTTGTAAACTTTAAACATTATCTTATCAAATGATAGATTTTGCTAATAAAATAACCAATTTAAAATTTCTACATTGTAACTATTATTATATTATAATTAATCGCATAACTGTTAGTTTTATGTTGAATGTTATTTTAAATGAAAAATTATAGGTAGACTAGCTGTCGCCCACGACTCCACCAGGGCGTACTTAAAAAAAAACAACTTGTTAATAGTAATAGTCTATGGTATGTATTCTTCCAGACCATGTTCTACATATATGCCAAATTTCAGCGAGATCCACGCAGCCGGTCTAAAGATACCTTCTTTGTCTAACAAACATTCATCCATATATTCAAACATTCGCATTTATAATGTTGGTATGATTTAACAATCTTTTAAATACAAGGGGACGTAAACCACAACATGGAATTATTCTCGATTAATTAAGTGTTGAAAGTCACTTTGAAATGCCAGTTTGAATTGTTTGTTTAGTTCTGAAACTTAACTACAGCTAATAAAATCTAAATAACATTAATTATCTTAAGTATTTTATTCATGGTCACACACAAAACATGGCAACACATAGATGTATCCATAATGACTACAATAATACTGCGTAGGTAACAGAAGATGACAATTTAATAGTGATTAATTTAAAATTGTACACACCTAGAGAATTATTAAATAAATACATAATTCATTAAAGCTGCAGATAGTCATCATCAGTTCACTATAGGTCCCCACCGAGGTGCTCGGAGCCTACCCTAAGTTAAGGGTGATTAGGCCATAGTCAACCACGCTGGACAAGTGCGGGTTGGTTGACTTCACAAACATATTTGAATTTCTTCTCAGATATGTGCAGGATGCATCACGATGTTTTCCTTCACCGTAATAACGTCGGATAACTGTTCATATGTAAATCGGTAATCGAAAAACACATTGGTACATGGCGGGATCCGAACCCAGGACCTGTAGACTGCAAGTCAAGTGCTTGACCCCTGAGCCACCGACGCTCTCGATAAAGTATTAAAATAAAATTATTTTGTTTTCTTCATAGCGTTTTCTTTATAGCACGATTTATCATT